CCAATCCAGTTTTAACACCTGATTGATTACTAGTTTTATGGCATAAATAACTTATAAATAACATCTCATTCTGTGATAATATATATATTTATGTCCAATCTGCAAAATGTGATATATGTGTATTATTTGCCTTTTATCTGAATAAACTATTATTTGTATCTGTGGGTATACGGTGCAGGGTCCCTCAGGACATGTATCGCGTCGGGGGAGGAGTGCTAGGTAATCTAGAAGTTCTAAAGGGTGAGGGTTCCTTTGAAACTCTCCATCGTGGTAATGAAAAGAAATCACGGTGAAATATGTTAACTATCTGTGCTTTATTGTTTATATAAAATATAGGTGTGCTTTCTTTTTGTGGCTTGCATTTAAGAATCTTTGCTCCCAGACCCCTAACCCTAAAGTTAACATCATAGTTAACTGATAATTTACCTCCCCCCCCTCCCCCCACACCCACCCCCACCCCCAACCCCCATTCCCCAAGTACATGTATGTGTAAACACCTAACTATTTATAATATCCACTCCACTGATAGACAATGAAACTATAACATTTCACGTCACAAAGTGAAACTCAATCAGTGACCCTTAATGCCGACAAGAAGAAAAATCCGGAAAGCATGCATGGTAAATTGGTTCGAGAGGTTAGAATGCAAGATCCGGGATGGTCGAGTTGACGACGTTCACTTGACACTAGAAAAAGAGAGTAGCTAAACAGACCAGTGATTTCTACGCACATACAAACATCTGAGTAACCAGATTCCATAGGTATGTAACAGTTTATAAAACATGTAAATGGGTCGTCTAACGTAACGTTAAATCAACCGGTTGACAGAGAGAAGCATTCGTAAGGCAATGTCGAGGCACAGGAACTTGAATTTCTATCAGAATGGTCTATTTAAGCTCAGAGAACTGACTAAGCCCAATATATACCCCCTTCAGGAAAGGGGGGTATCTATTGGGCTTAATCAGTTCGCTGAGCTTAAATAGACCATTCTGATAGAAATTCAAGTTCCTGTGGTCGAGGGGACTTCCGGTTTCGATATTTGTGCCAAAAATGTCAGTCAGATTTGACAGTTAAGCATTCTGTTAGAACTGAAACTGAATATTAGTCCAATGACTGCATATAGACTCTAATATATAATCGATATGTACGTAGACACTTTGGTTTGGGCTGTTTACTGTGAGTGTGATCTGACCTTTGCTCGCAGGTATGTAAATCAGTTGTAATGTGTATAAAACTATTTATCTATCTATTCTGCAACACCCTCTTTCGAGTATTATGTGCAGCGTGCGCGTCTGTGCATTGTGGGGTGACCGAGATAGAAATGATAAAGTACGGACTGGTGCATGCATAAGGGAGAGAGAGAGGATAGAAAGAAAAGTGTGATGAGAGAGTATTTGGTGCTAAGAAATGTCTATAAGTTTAGACCTGCTACTGCCCATACAAGGGCATATTTTATGGAACCTCTACGGATGTTGATGATAGCTCCTGTTGTACAAAATAGCGGATCTATTATGTCAGGTCTCTTGAGTCTTGTTTATAAATCATATGGGATCATGTATAATGCGACTTCAAGCGACAACAAGCATATCTAAGTAGCAATAAGTGTCACCAGAAAAACTCTTTATAAATAATTAATAGAAAAAGCAACATCAGACTTATTATGTAAATCATATAGGGTAAATTTGCGTATCCGGTTGAAACCGTTGAACCTGTAAAGAAAACGACAGGTACAGATCTGAACCGAGGCCGACCTCAAGAAAATTTGGCACGTGTAGATTGAGGGGTCCAGACGTACATGACTGAAACTAAAATGCTGACTATTGATAGTTTGCGTTATTTATTTCTAAAACAATGTTTAGCCACTTGGGTTTGAAGATACGTTATGTAATTCAGTTGACGGGTAAAAGAAGGGCATAATATTCTTGATAAAAAAATAATATTCTCTGAAACTGTGCATATTTAGCACTGCTTATAAAATGGTCTAAGTGCGTTCGTTTATCTTGGAATATTTCTGCGCCACACGTACCGTTTCAACCGGGATACGTGAATGTAGCCCTGATAATGATTTTTTTAGCCTATTGCTATCCTCCGTCGTCCGTTAACATTTTACATTTTCAACTTAAGCTGAAATACTGGCTAAGGGATTTCATTAATATTTCATGGGAAGGTTACTGACATCTCCCTGACCAAGTGTTGTTATTTTTCGGGTCGATCAGAAATCCAATATGGCCGCCACGGCCGCCATTTTGAAAAACTTTTTCAAACTTAAGTCAAGTTCTACTGGGACGATTGAACTGAAACTTAATTGGAATGATCGACTCATGGTCCTGACAAAGTGTTGTTATTTTTCGGGTCGACCAGAAATCCAATATGGCCGACAAGGCCGCCATTTTGGAAAAACTATTTCAAACTTAATGTCAAGTTCTGCTGGGCCGATTGAACTGAAACCTGGTAGGAATGATCGACTCATGATCCTGACAAAATGTTGTTATTTTTTGGGTCGATCAGAAATCCAATATGGCCGCAACGGCCGCCATTTTGAAAAACTATTTCAAACTTAAAGTCAAGTTCTGCTGGGCCGATAGAACTGAAACTTTGTAGGAATGATTGACTCATGGTCCTGACAAAGTGTTGTTATTTTTTGGGTCGATCAGAAATCCAATATGGCCGCAACGGCCGCCATTTTGAAAAACTATTTCAAACTTAAAGTCAAGTTCTGCTGGGCCGATAGAACTGAAACTTTGTAGGAATGATTGACTCATGGTCCTGACAAAGTGTTGTTATTTTTCGGGTCGATCATAAATCCAATATGGCTGCCACGGCCGCCATTTTGAAAAACTATTTCAAACTTAAATTCAAGTTCTGCTGGGCCGATTGAACTGAAACATTGTAGGAATGATCGACTCATGGTCCTGACAAAGTGTTGTTATTTTTCGGGTTGATCAGAAATCCAATATGGCCTACATTTTGAAAAAACTATTTCAAACTTAAAAACTTAATAGGCCAATTTAACTGAAACTTGGTCTAGGAATGATCAGCTCATGGACCTGACAAACTTAAGTTAATGCTATACTTAACTATTTTGTTCTCAAATTGGTACATATTTGCAACAACAAAAATAAATACTGTAGGACTCAGGTGACTGTTTAGGCCCATGTGCCTCTTGTTTTATTTATAGCAGTGTTCATTGTAAGCTCTAGCTATAGATTTAAAGAGCTTATACTAGTCCCCCAATGTCTGTCTGAAGAGTTTGTCCCGGGTATATCTTCTCTACTATTTTACCATCGATTAACTAGATTAGGTATACAAATACATCTTGGGATGGCAGAGTATCTAGTGCAAAAAGTAGGTCACTGTTACCTTGGTTTGACCTTTGACATCAACCTTTGAAAAAGATTGTCACAAACATATCTCTTATACTATTTCACCTGGATTAGCCACATTTAGTATGCAAGTAAATCTTGAGATGGAGGCATTTCAAGTACAAAAAGTAGGTCATTGTGACCTATTGTTTGACCTTCGACCTCAGCCTTTGAAAAAGTTTATCCAGGGCTTAATTATCTTTTATACTTTTTCACCTGGATTAACTAGATTTAGTATGAAAGTATGCCTGGGTTGGAATGGTTGGCAAAGTACAAAAAGTATGTCGCTGTGACCTGTATGATATCCTGAGATAAACAAATCTTTAGCATGGGGGACTATGGATTTTCTTGTTATGATGCCCCTGAGGGAACAAAATATTGATCGTTTCATGGTGGAAGAAAGTACACTGGAGAAAAGCCAACATGTAATCGGAGGGATAAAAACTAGATCTAGCTTATATATCACCCTGTTTTTCCACCACTGCTTTACATTGGGATCAAACTTAAATTCTTTGGAGAGTGGTATCACTCTGAATTTCACTCTTGATTGCAAACAGTAGAAATGACTATGTGCTTAAACCACTGACAAGGCACCTACAAATGAATACCAGGTTTCAGTTTGATTTGTGAAAAAAATACAAATTAAGTTATGTTAAATGCAAATTTAATGAATAAAAGCCTTTCATTTCTGTGTATTTTTCTGCATAATAAACAACTTGGTCAAGTTCTTGTCTATCATAATTTCAGTGGTCTATAAGTAATTTGTATTGGGTACAATCATAGACTCATTGTTTTAGTTTCATATATATGTGAAAATGTCTTTTTTATGTGGCCTTTTATATGAAAGAGTTGCAATTTTACCTCTTTACATAACATATACAGTCGAACCTCGTTATCACGAACTCTTTTAACTCGAAGACCCCGTTTATCTCGAAGTATTTCTCCGGTCCCGGCCAAATCTGTTCTTTATCTTAGTAAATAAAACTCTGATAATACGAACCCTGAAAAGTCGAAAAACTCGGATACCTCGAAGTAAACTATTGGTTTCAATAGCGTTAATCCAATGTAGTATCTAAATTTCATTTTGTCACTTGTTAATTCTTTGATACAAATAAAACGCAAAAGTACGACATTTCGCCATTCCGTGTTTATGAACATCTTTCGTAAGTAGACTAGCATGAAATCAGTAAAAAAGAATTTACGATAAAGCTTAGGACTGTAAAGTTTACGGACTGTCAAAACCATGTTATTCATAATAAAAAACAAACTGCATCAATGTTGATCAACAGTAATCTGTACTTACTGCGAGTCCGTTTAATGATTTGTACACCTAAACAGACGACAGTGCAAACAGGAAAATTGGTCACAAAGCGTGGTCATGCATAAAAGAGTTCCACAGTTAAAATCACAACCTAGGACAGCTTTACGGGTTCATGTTTTTACAGGAGCCAGTATGGCTTTGAAAGTCGATCGAGAGATTTAAGAACAAAACGATAATTGTTGTTGATTACATCGAGTTGAGGAGGTGTCAGGTGTCATATTTGGCTTTAATGAATCAATGTGTCACATGTACGATATAATTTGTTTGTGTGTTTTCATTTACAGAATCAACTGCGTACGCTCCATTATAGTGATTTGTTTTAGACTTGCGCACTTTCATTTCCGCGCTGTAAACTACGAGATCAGAGACAGCGGGATAGTTCGGTTTGACATGTAACACTTCAGAAGTAAAACTTGACGGACTTACAAATACAAATGCAGACCTGGAAAGATTTGCCAAGATCTATACTAGCCAAAAACAACATTTAATCACTAGGCCCGTCCATATTTAATAACGAATTCACAAAATGGTCCAACCATTTTGATCGCGTTTAAAAACGAAAGTACGTTTTTCTGAAATAACTTCCTCTCTTTTTGTAAGCCTGTTGATTGTAAAATTACATAGCTGTATTTGTTATATTGATTACATATATCATTTATCGATTGATTAAAAGCATTAACCATTAATAAAACCAACAACTGCTAGTGCTACGTCCCAACTGCAAATTTCATACCAAATCTATGAACCCGAATAACTCGAATACTCGGATAACTCGAAGTTTTCCCACGACCCCGTCGACTTCGAGATAACGAGGTTCGACTGTATACCCCAGTATATACATTTGGCATAAATATCTCATATACATGTATGATTGTAACTTTTTATTGAAGTTTTGATTATTATTTTTTCTCTGTTTCGTTTTGCAGAAAATGAAGAATGGCTACCTCAGACTTCCAAGAAAACTTTTTTCATTGTCCAATCTGCACTGAAAAATTCAGACATCCAAAAGTTCTACATTGTCAACATACATTTTGCAAAACTTGTATCCACTCTTACATCAGACAGGAAGTTGCGAAAACACCTGGACGACACGGTTTTGCGTGTCCAATTTGTCGAACATTCACACAGATCAGGAATCCCAGTGTTCCCTATGACAAATGGTCAGATTCTCTGATAACAAATTTTAATCTTATCAATATGATGGAAGCCACTGAAAGTGTAAAGGAAGTGAAATGTTTGATTCACAAGAAAACTGTTGAATACTTTTGCAAGGGGCACGAGAAAACCATTTGCTCAGATTGTGCCATTTTTGATCATAGGAACTGCGATATAACGGCACTGGCTGCAACAAAAAAACACGAAAAGCTCCTTGGAAGTGTCTCGGAGTGTCTCCTTGAAGCTTCACAGTTGGAGAAGAAAAATTTGGAATCGATCAGTGCACTAACAGAAAGTAAAAATATCATGGAAAGGATATTAAAAGATCATTTTTCACAGATGAAAGAAAGGATTGATACGGCAGAAAAAGACCAAATTAACATGCTTCAGTGCAAGTATGATTGTGAAGTGTTTGCTTTGAAAGAAAAACAAGAGAAATGCCAAAATTTGAGTGAAAATTTGCAAGCTACAATGGAAGAACTACGGCAACGAAAGGGAGATTCTTCAACAAACATTGGACATTGTGAAGATAATGTTTTGGATTTAAAAGGACAATTAGAGACAGCATTAAAATCCATCAGGGATAAAAGAGAGATTCACATATCACTGAAATCTGATGTTGATTTGGAGAGCAGAATAGAAAAATTGTCCAATTTGGTTGGAGAGGTGATTGTGAATATCTCTTCAGAAGAACACCAGTCGGGGGTAGCTGCAGGCAGAGGTCCATTACAACCGCCAGCATTAGGTAGCAGATTTATGTATCAAAATGGGACTATGGACGATGTTGGACTTCCTTCATACACTATGGCTGTACAACAGTTGGGCCCCATGCTTAGTACTCCTCCTGGTGCTCCAGGGCTTGTCCACGTTGTTCATCCTGGGTCAATGATGCAACCTCCAGCAGCTGGCCCTCAACAGATATTCCCGCTGGGACCTTTCGGACCAACTTCAAATGCACCAAAATCTCTCGTCCCCATGACGTCATTCAACGCCAAGAGGCCAAGTGACAAAACCCACTGTTGGCTAACTGGGGCATCATTTCTATCCAATGATAACATTGTAATGGCAGATAAAAATAACAAGAAGGTGAAACTTTTCTCAAACACTTTTTACTGTATCGCTGAGATGGCCATGCAAACCTATCCTTTTGATCTGGCAGAGACATGTACAGGAGAAATTGCAGTGACGCTGCCAAAACAGAATCGTGTCGGATTCTTTCACCTGGAGACTCTGACACCATGTTCTCACTACATTGACACCGAGCAACCCTGTCTGGGAATCACATCTGGACATGAGAGACTGTACATCTGCTGCGACACAACCTGGTCTAAGAATGGGTGCATACGCGTTTACGACAAGTTTAACCAGCTGTTGATCAAAATTGAGAAGGACGACCGAGGCAAAGATATGGTGAGTGTGACAGACTATCTGACAGTGTGTCCACTCTCTGGGAACCTTTTCTTCAAGCGTGGAGGCCTGAGTAAGGAGTGTATCCACTGTACCACCAACCAAGGCACCATCCTGTGGAAGGCTAAAGTTCCATCTTGGATGGATGTTCCAGCTGGATTAGCTGTCCTAAATGATGGACTCATAGTGTCCATAGGAAGTCTGAAGTGGATTTCCCCTGGTGGTCAAAAATGGGAGAAGCTTATCGACTCCAGTGATGTAAGTGGCCCGTGTGCACTGTCTGTCAGTCATGACAAAACACGGCTTCTCGTTACACAAGCAGATGCTATCTCTAACTGTAAGGAAAACGATGAAGTCCGAATCTTCAACATCATGTACCAGTTTGGTTAATAATATAACAACTGATACATGCAACATTTGTTGTACATTGTACATAATTTACATTTATTGTTGAAGGGCATTCATAGTAACTAATGTTAGCTAATTTACAGACCTATGCAGTGCAGGGGTATTATGTTTTTGTCTCGCTTATCTGTTTTTTCCTTTTAACTACTCTAGCACCTATAATTCATGCCAGATTTGACCAAACTTGACTTGTATGTACGCTTTGGATATACCATGAACAAGTTTGAATATTGGTTTGTTCCCTTAAAAAATCAAAGTCACTGTTATAAAGAATATACTATTTCAACATCATTCATTTCATCACGAGCGATTGTTTTTTTATGCAATATTTTGAAACTTCACATGTACATTTACATTTCACATATGTTGAAGTTTTGAATATGGTCATGATTGGCATTGGCCAAAGCCCTCGTCTACTTGTTCTGATGAGTAAAAATAACATTGTGCCAAGTGGTTTAGCCTATGCTTATCACCCATGTGCCGAGTGTTCTTTTTTATCTCTCTGTTAATTGTTTTTCATCCACATTTTCATTATTCGCCTGTTATTGAATTTTAAAAATCATTAAATGCTGAAAAAAAGGAAACTTCTTTTCAAATCAATAAATATAAAGTGTCTAAGTTGTCATCACAGTTCTAAAATCTTTCAGCACTTTAGTAGATCATCAGTGTCTGTAGTGTGCATGCAGCATCTCAGTGATGAAGAAAAAGGACCGGATTCCTGTAGCCAAGTTGTTCCATATATAGAGAGCAAAACAAGTCTGTAATAAACAAACACTATATATATATATAACTGCTAGTTTCTTTAAAGTCTAACTGGAGGTCTGGTGAAAATAATGAAACTATATAATTATGTCATCACTAATCAGACACACACGGAAAAGGAAAAAACCTATCCAACCTGACATAAAAGGATGATATTACCAATGCACATTAAAATAAAGGCACATTAAAATAAAGGCACAATGTTAATACATGTGTATATAAATGTAAAATTTACAATAACTATTACATTGTACGTATTGTGAATTGTACTAACACCAGACACCAGACACATTGGAGTTATCTCCCATGGGCAAATATCTCCAAATGTCACCACATTTGTATTTACTTTCTGTTTAGGCAGTATACAGCTGTAACATTCTATATATTGTTTTGTCTGCTATATGACATATTTGTAAAGAAATTATGAAGCCAATTTTACACTCTTTTACACCATGATAAAAAAAAAGATAGAAAAAAAGTATATATTAGTCTTCCTGTATTTGTAAAGCTCCAATGTTAGTTTTTCCTGTTGAAACAGTTATGTATACATATTTATATCTTGTATATATACAGGCCATTCTTCAGAAATAGTTTTTTTCATGTTTTCCCAATCGCGATTGACTCACTATAAATGGTGTCTATTCAAACTTTTTATTACATTTAATTTTAATAAAATTGTTTAACTGAAAAATACCTTAGTAGGGAAACTGCAAAGAAACAGATTTGAAGGATGGCCTTAATCTTATTACAACAGATATTTGGGGACCATTACAAATGTAATATGGAAGTTCAAGTAGACGTTTTATGAAGATATGCAATTTTCTTATTTTCGTTTATATTGCTGTAGATTCTCGTGTGATTAAATGTGCACACAAGTTGAGTAATGTATAAGTTTTTCTGCAGCATTTTTTGTTTTGTTTATTTTTGTGCTTTTATGAATAAGGGAGTTTTATCAAATATTCAATATGTAATATTTGTATTGTAGTATGTAATTTAACTGTGATAGTTAAAAAAAAATATTAATACTTGATTCAATGTTGATTTCAGTGTGTTCTCAGAAATTTTATTGTTCCAGATTTTTTATTCACAAATTGGCTGGCCTGTAGGCATTGGTTTGAGCTATTAAATCCAATCACTCTCTATCCTCATGATGTCAGGGCGTAGATACCCTCTATCCTCATGATGTCAGGGTGTAAATGAGTTGTCACCCTCTATCCTCATTATGTCAGGGTGTAGATGAGTTGTCACCCTCTATCCTCATGATGTCAGGGTGTAGATGAGTTGTCACTCTCTAACCTTGTGATGTCAGGGTGTAAATGAGTTGTCACTCTCTATCCTCATGATGTCAGGGGGTAGATGAGTTGTCACCCTTTATCCTCATGATGTCAGGGTGTAGATGGGTTGTCACCCTCTATCCTCATGATGTCAGGGGGTAGATGAGTTGTCACCCTTTATCCTCATGATGTCAGGGGGTAGATGAGTTGTCACCCTTTATCCTCATGATGTCAGGGGGTAGATGAGTTGTCACCCTTTATCCTCATGATGTCAGGGTGTAGATGAGTTGTCACCCTTTATCCTGATGATGTCAGGGTGTAGATGAGTTGTCACCCTTTATACTGATGATGTCAGGGTGTAGATGAGTTGTCACCCTTTATACTTATGATGACAGGGTGTAGATGAGTTGTCACCCACTATCCTCATGATGTCAGGGTGTAGATGAGTTGTCACACTCTATCCTCATGATGTCGGGGTGTAGATGAGTTGTCACCCTTTATCCTCATGATGTCAGGGTGTAGATAGGTTGTCACCCTCTATCCTCATGATGTCAGGGTGTAAATTAGTTGTCACTCTCTATCCTCATGATGTCGGGGTGTAAATGAGTTGTCACTCTCTATCCTCATGATGTCAGGGTGTAAATGAGTTGTCACTCTCTATCCTCATAATGTCAGGGTGTTAATGAGTTTCACTCTCTATCCTCATGATGTCAGGGTGTAGATGAGTTGTCACTCTCTATCCTCATGATGTCAGGGTGTAGATGAGTTGTCACTTTGTATCTTCATGATGTCAGGGTGTAGATGAGTTGTCACTCTCTATCCTCATAATGTCAGGGTGTAAATGAGTTGTCACTCTCTATCCTCATGATGTCAGGGTGTAGATGAGTTGTCACTCTCTATCCTCATAATGTCAGGTTGTAGATGAGTTGTCACTCTCTATCCTCATAATGTCAGGGTGTAAATGAGTTGTCACTCTTTATCCTCATAATGTCAGGGTGTTAATGAGTTGTCACTCTCTAACCTTGTGATGTCAGGGTGTAAATGAGTTGTCACTCTCTATCCTCATAATGTCAGGGTGTTATTGAGTTGTCACTCTCTAACCTTGTGATGTAAGGGTGTTAATTAGTTGTCACTCTCTAACCTTGTGATGTCAGGTGTTAATGAGTTGTCACTCTCTATCCTTGTGATGTCAGGGTGTTAATGAGTTGTCACTCTCTATCCTCATAATGTCAGGGTGTTATTGAGTTGTCACTCTCTAACCTTGTGATGTCAGGGTGTTAATTAGTTGTCACTCTCTAACCTTGTGATGTCAGGGTGTTAATGAGTTGTCACTCTCTATCCTCATGATATCCAGGTGTAAATCAGTTGTCAGTCTCTGTTCTCATGATTTTGATAAGTGTAAATCAGTTGTAACTCTCTATTCTCATGGTGTTAGGGTGTAAATCAGTTGTCAATCTCTGTCATCAAATTTGAAAATTACTCTTATGGTTTAGGACATGATGACTAAGATAACAGAATTTTGCTTTTTAACATCTCACAAAATATTTGATCAATTTTTATGATACTTTATTTTGTTTTATGTTTATATCTGCAGTTGAAAGTAGGTTCAAATAGAAAAAAAATAGAAGCAAACCTTATTTTAAGAAAAACACACACCCTTTAGAGAGTTATATAATAAAACATTTTCAGAAAATAGATTTCATTATCAGTTTGTAGAAAAATTGCAGATACGTAAATATAAATAAAGTTTGTTTTATAAAAATCAGTTGAAATTAATCAAATTGCAGTTGTAATTTGATAAAATAAAAAACAAAATTTGAAAATGTTCAAAAGTCATGTGAAATAGATTATCTCCCTTTTAGTGTTAAATATTAGATTTCTATTCAATATATATGATAAGTTGCTAAACTCTACTTGTTAGTTTTCTCTATACCCACTTTTAGATACTAGAACCGACAAATTCTGCTGGAAATGAGCAGACGAATAAGATATTGACACCGAGTGATGACGTCCTGAAACCATCTCTCCAATAAACTGACAGAAATCTGAACTCAAAATGTACTTTTGACATTAGTTAATGTATATAAACACCGATGAGATGATGATAAATTGTGACAGGTGCATCAAGGCACTGATGTAAACTGTTTCACATTAAGAAGTGACTCTGGTGTGCAATGAAATAATAAGACAGTATTATCAGTTGTATTTATATCTAGAATATGTATACCTATTCATATAGGGATATAAAAATGAAAACTAAATGTAGTGTTGTTTGGTTTTGGTTCGAAGACATTGATAGCATTAATGAATTAATATCAAAAACTGAACCAAAAATACGCAAATATTATAGATGATGGAAAAGAATAAATAAATAATGAAAAACACTTACGTATTGTCTTGAACTAGCATTCAGCTAATAATACACCTGAAACAAGAGGAGCAATGGGAATGATAATCATCTATCTAAAAAATACACTAAAATGTGTGTGCACAAAAATATGGTGACATAAAAACTGATTGGCGACACAGACTTTTTCTTAATATGATATTACCAAATAAAGTATACAACCCCAAATTTGATCAAATATCTTGTAATAAATTAAAGATAATCCATTGGTTATCTCATTGAGTGAACAACAGGAAGATGTCCATCAGAGTGTGCTGGGTGATTATAAAGATCTGCTGGATTTTATTGAGCTGGAAATCCTTCATTGTGATTGTTATTTGTTAATAATGCTTGTACATTTAAGATATTTAAAAAATGTTTTTACCTTTTGATTTTACTTTTTACATATTTATTTATTTATTTATTTAGAGACCATGTGATTTTATAGTTGCGTTTCTTCAATATAGAGTGCCATACAACGTTTAGCAATCATAGCATCATAACTACATTGTATATACCATATGTTGTAAACAGAGGTTGCTTGTCCAAACTCCGACAATTTGAATGTTGATAATAGAAACATTAGCTAATCATCTGATGTAATGGCTAGTACATCTAGACACTATTCAAGCTCAAGGCTGCAATATTACAGTTAACATTTTATCAGTGTGATGTCAGTTGCGTTGACATTTGCATGGACAGTTGGATTCGGATTGAAATCAGCCTTTTAGACTCGGCTTATTTGAAACGGTATATTCATTCAATGCTTACTCAAAACGAAAATTTCTATGTCAAAATGCAGCTTTTTTTAATCATTTCATTAATCAAGAAAAGTGTCTTTGATAAGGTTTCCCCCCACTTGATGGCACCCTGGTGACGCAAATTGTTCTAGTCAGTTGTCAGATGCAAATCTAACTTTCTATTAGGTAAGCATTGTAATTATCCTATTTCCCAGACTATGTTTTGTAAGCATTAATATTTATTGTAAACAAATTTGATTGCCCCTATGTATTTTTTGTGTATGTGGAAAAATATAAATTCATGCACTATCAAACTTCGAGTTTTGAGAATGTGATGTATAATTTTAGTGTTTCTTATCTAAAACAACTGCTATCGAAGTGAATTCCTGGATCAAGTAAAATAATTGTTTTGTTATTATATGAGTTTAAAGCACAAAGCATCATTTTGATAAATCAAACCATCTTGTTATAATTGATATATGATGTATTAATTAAAATGATTGTGGGAAATTACTAATACATCGACAGCTTGAACTGTAAGTAAAGTTTGTAAGGTATTCAGTGATAACCCTAAACTGTCTGTGCCTCTAGAAAGGAGTTGTAGAACCGATATATATATAGCTATAAAAACAATTTATGAAATTTCAAAAAGGAAAAATGGATCTGATATTTGAGTTATTGTGTCCCAGGAATACAACTCTACTTGCTAAGTAGTACACTAATTCATTATCATGTAATGTATATTACCGTAACGTCATAAATGAATTGAATGATAACTGTAATATTGATTTTAATTTAAGACTTTATCAACTTAATTTTAAAAATATGGGCATGGTTGTTGAATTGTCATTAGGTTATTATAACTGGATATAACTATATAAAATGTTAGGTACCAAATATTTTTATGATTACTGAAATATTAAAATATGCACCTGTCAGTGTTTTAAATGACAACAAAACTTAAGATATTACATTTTGGAAAAAAATGTGTAAATTACCTGATTTACTTTTATTTTTCTTTAATATTCATACCATCAAAATTATCAGTAGCTTGACATATCACATTATACCCTTAGATCATTTTAGTAGGGAGTTGATTACCTCAGTTAATGCTTGTTTATTTTTTGCATGCTGTAAAGTAGTACAGCCAAATGTTATATACCGGTAGCTCCCTGTTGAATAAAATAGCCCATATTGCCACAATTGTTTAATATTTCCACATTCTTTATCTAGGTTAAATAATTAGAGAAATGTTTACATACTGTACAATACATTTCCCAAAGATATAAATTTGAGGATTACAGTTGGTAAGTTTTGGGCCAGGAAAAAGTAAATATCACATAAAAATGGTATTGCTGCTTTGAAATAAAATGGTCTTTTCAAAACATTGATGTAAATCATGACCATGAGCTTGACATTGTTCATGTCATGGTTCAGTTTAAGAAATGTATATCTAGTTTTATAACCTATGAATTCCTGTGAAAAACAGAAAATGAAATTGACCTTGATTTCCACCAACCTGGTCAAGATATCTGGATGTTTTATTCAGGTCCTTAGAAATAACTGTTTGATTCTGTATCTAAAACATTAACCAATTGTTTGTTTTTATGGTGCTTTGTGTGATTTTGGATGGGATTATTTGCATTTTTTTTTACATGTCATGAACATATTAATAAGGATCCCTGTACCACTGTCATGAACATATTAACAAGGATCCCTGTACCACTGTCATGAACATATCAATAAGGATCCCTGTAACAATGTCATGAACATATTAATAAGGATCCCTTTACCACTGTCATGAACATATTAACAAGGATCCCTGTACCACTGTCATGAACATATTAACAAGGATCCCTGTACAAATGTCATGAACATATTACTAAGGATACCTGTACCACTGTCATGAACATATTAACAAGGATCCCTCTACCATTGTCATGAACATATTAACAAGGATCCCTGTACCGCTGTCATGAACATATTAATAAGGATCCCTTTACCACGGTCATGAACATATTAATGAGGATCCCTGTACCACTGTCATGAACATATTAATATGTCATGAACATATTAATAAGGATCCCTTTACCACTGTCATGAACATATTAACACGGATCCCTGTACCAATGTCATGAACATATTACTAAGGATCCCTGTACACTGTCATGAACATATTAACAAGGATCCCTGTACAAATGTCATGAACATATTACTAAGGATACCTGTACCACTGTCATGAACATATTAACAAGGATCCCTGTACCACTTTCATGAACATATTAACAAGGATCCCTCTACCATTGTCATGAACATATTAACAAGGATCCCTGTACCACTGTCATGAACATATTAATAAGGATCCATGTACCACTGTCATAAACATATTAATAAGGATCCCTGTACCACTGTCATGAACATACTAATAAGGATCCCTGTACCACTGTCATGAACATATTAACAAGGATCCCTTTACCACTGTCATGAACATACTAATAAGGATCACTGTACCACTGTCATGAACATATTAATAAGGATCCATGTACCACTGTCATAAACATATTAACAAGGATCCCTTTACCACTGTCATGAACATACTAATAAGGATCCCTGTACCACTGTCATGAACATATTAATAAGGATCCCTGTACCACTGTCATGAACATATTTATAAGGATCCCTGTACCACTGCCATGAACATATTAATAAGGATCCCTGTACCACTGTCATGAACATATTAACAAGGATCCCTGTACCACTGTCATGAACATATTAATGAGGATCCCTTTACCACTGTCGTGAACATATTAACAAGGATCCCTGTACCACTGTCATGAACATATTAACAAGGATCCCTGTACCACTGTCATGAACATATTAATAAGGATCCCTGTACCACTGTCATGAACATATTAACAAGGATCCCTGTACCACTGCCAAAACCTGTAGCTTTGCCTTGTAATATTTATCATCCAGTAGGAATATAGCTTTGAGAGAGAAAAAAAATTGAAAGAAAAGCATT